CGTCGCCCGTCGACTACGATCCTTCTGACTTACATCGCCCACCGACTACAGTCCTTCTGACCTCCGTCGCCTGCCGACTACGGTCTTTCTAACTTACGTCGCCCACTGACTACAGTCCTTCCGACCTCCCTCGCCCTCCGATTACGGTCCTGCCGACTTATGTCGCCTGCCAACTACTATCCTACTGACCTCCATCGCCCGCCGACTACGGTCCTTCCGACTTACGTCGCCCATCGATTATGGTCCTTCTGACCAAACGATCACGTCAACAGTGACTCTTTGTATTCTCATTATGTACTTCATATAATGTACATAAAGCCAAGGCCTTCCCCCTAAGAAAGGGCCTCAATTGTAATCGACTGCAAATAAAAGTGGATTCGTTCAAACTTGACTAGGCCCCATGATTTTTCCCCATTTTCAAGGCTTTTCCACGTAAAAATATTGGTATCTCCTATAAATTCAACATCATCTCTCTTATCTGATTGCGTGCCGGATTTTTGTACAAAGTTAAGATGTTAAATTTCATATTTCTCTACCGCCGCGAATACTCCAGGACGCAACATATATAAAATAGATAATAATTGAACTAGCCGATTCTTTAAAATTGGGACCGGTTCTGATTCGCCGGTTTGGCGGTTCGATTGCCCAGTTTTATCCGATTCAATGCGAAGCCATTTTTAGAGCAATTTTAAAATGGCTGACTAACTGGTTAATTTCCGGCTGAACCGGTCGAACCGACTCATCTGATCCAATTTTCAAAACCATGGTGAAATCCCAAAATTTCTCATTCTCAACTACCTTACTCGCTCTCGCTCTGGTTCTCTTTTTTTTTTTTGGGCTTTATTGAAGCCTGTAAGCCAACTCTACACTAGCACAAACTTACAGTATTTACGGCCCAAATTTTTTAGAAAAATCTAAGGCAATGAAGGATAACCAGATTTTTTTTTTTTAAGAAATTTTTTATTAAAAAGTTTTTTTACAAAGCATTAAAAAAGCTCTCCTAAATGAAGTATTTCTTAGGCCTCGTTTGTGAAGACTTTCGACTGCTTCTTAAAATAGTTTTTTAGTTTACAAATTTTTGAATTAAAATTTTTATACTAAAAAGCTGATGTAGACAACAATAAAAAAAACCCATCCTTCGGACATTTTTCTTACTTTTTATTAACGTTGTTTTTTAGTATAAAATTTTAATTCAAAAAATTATTATACTAAAAAACACAATCAACAAGAAAGTTATCTCAAATAAAGCCTCAGGCCCTATTTGAATAATAAGAATTTAGAGATTTTAAAATCTCATATCAATGCAACTAGATTTTTTCTCAACTCATAAATTTCTTTTATTTCATTTTTATTTCCATCACTTACCTCCAATAAAATAGAGCTTTTAAACTTGATTTTAGTAGTTTATTAATAAGCCAAACTCTAGCTGTTTGGCTCATGTTGCCGGCCTAAGATTCTGCATCTGCCTGCCTTTAATTACTGATTAGCAATCCTATCAACAGATAACCACTAACAAATTTAAGGTAAGTTTTGTTTTATAAAAAAGTTTTTTAGTTAAAAAATTATTAGTTCAAATAAATTTTGTACTAAAAAATTGCTTTAAAAATTAGTCAAAAATATGTCACAAACTAAGTCTAAATCATTGATTACAAATCTAAAAAAAAATACTATTTACTAGCTGATATCATACAGTGGAATAAAAGTTTATTGTTATTATTGTTGTTTCATTTTTTTTCTTATTTTTCTGTGTAAAGCAATGGAACGTTTTAGTGTCAGTTTCATGTTATTAGTATCACCAGCAGCAGCTCAAGTCTCCACTCTCTTAGTAACGGCATCAGCAAAAGTGACTCACGCCTCCACTCTCCCAGCAATGACCTCTGACAACAAGACCACATGGCATGATCACAGCTAGCTCATAACAAACTCCTCACACATCACCATACACGTGTCCTCAATATCAGTTATATATAGTACACTGTGTAAAACATATCACAATAAATGAATACAATAGTTTACACAAAAATCTCTACTTTGGTATTGTTTGTTATTACTCTGTTTTGCAGGTTACACAGAAGCTGCTCAGGGATTTATTCAAGGTATCAGAGCAGGATTGAGGAAATCTCTTCAACCTCAGTGAACTCTGGTGATGGCTCAATCTGCATCTTCTCAAACAGGGAATCAATCGGCAGACCTATCCACTGACTCACCAACCATACCGTCCTCCCTGAAGTTAGTTCTCTCAAACATCAAGACGATCATCCCAGAGCCTCTCTCTCCAATGAGAACTATCCAATTTGGAAGTCCCAGATCCCAAAACTTCTGAGAGCAAATGGATTCGCAAAGCTATCTCGACAATGCAGCACAAAGACCCTCCTGTCTTCTTAAGCTCTTTGATGGAAGCATAGAGCTCAATCCTGCATACACTCAATGGATCCTTATAGACCAAACTCTGGAAGCCGCACTGTGCTCTACCATATCCTCGTCAGTCCTGTCCTACGTTCTTCATCTTGACGGCTGCGTTGACATCTGGTTCACACTAGAACAATGACTCCAAGCATCAAACAGATCGAGAGTCATTCAGCTGAAAAATGAATTACATAACATCTCCATGCGCAATCTCTCCATGGTACAGTACCTCACAGCTGTTAAGACTTTGGTTGATAACATTGCAGCAGCTAGATCCAAAGTAGATTCCGAAGATATCGTACTGCATAGTCTAAATGGACTTCCTCCAGCATATCAAGCCTTCAAGATGTCCATTCGTACCAAGCGCAGTCCTCTGACCCTTGAGGAACTATACTCCTACCTTCTTACTGAAGAGATCACACTGGCTGCTGAATCAGCCAGAGGAAATTAGCACAATGATCCCAACACGGCATTATATGCCTCAAGGGGTTAAGGACATCGGGGTCGAGGATGATTTCAATACAGCAATAACACAGGTGGTCGATCAGTTTTGTCTTCTCCAATCATATGCCAGATCTGTACCAAAAGAGGTCATGCCGCTCCGCAATGCTGGCCCCGTTTGAATGTCAACTACACTCCAACTGTATTACAACAATCTTACAAATCCCTTGTTACAGACTCAACATAGCCATACAAGATTGGTACATTAATTCAGGGGCCTCATCGCATATGACGCATTCATTAGACAACCTTTCCCAGCCGATTTCCTATCATGGAGCAGATAGCATCACTGTTGGCAATGGACAGAACCTTTCCATAGCTCATTCAGGCCCCGGTCTTCTTCCAACTCCAACCCCTAAGCTATCTCTCTCTCAGATTTTTCACGTTCCTTCTGTCTCATAATCTACTTTATGTATCCACTCTCACTCACGATAACAATGTTTTCATCATCTTCTCTCCTCACGGTTTCACCATTAAGGACCAGAAGACTCAAGCAATACTCCTTCAGGGACCGTGCCGCAATGATATGTACACAATTAAACTACCTCCTGCGACAGCTTCACCCTCTGCACACTTAGCCATCTCCTCCTCCCATCTCCGCTGGCATCTTCGTCTCGGACATCCACATCGTCAAGTGTTACAAGCTATAGCGTCTCAAAACAGAGAGTTAGATATATCTACTAATGTTAATTTCTACTATATATGTACGGCTTCCAAAAGCCATAAACTAGCTTTTTCAAGTTCCTCAACTGTAACAACCACTCCATTAGCTTTACTTCATCTTGATGTATGGGATCCTTCCCCCACTGTATTGTTTCAAGGTTATCATTATTATCTTCTTATAATCGATGATTACTCAAGATATACATGGCTGTTCATGATGAGAGCTAAGTCCGAAGTTTCTAGCATCATAATGCACTTCAAAACCTTCATAGAAAATCAGCTCCCTCATCATATAAGATGTCTACACACCGATCGCGGTACTGAATTCCTGAACTCCATACTTAAAACATTTCTACAAAACCATGGCATTCACCACCAAATAGCATGCCCCTATTCACCGGAACAGAATGGCACTGTTGAACACAAAAACAGACATGTTGTTGAAACAACACGTACATTGCTACATACCGCCAAGCTTCCATACACCTTCTGGCCTTATGCAGCCCTCACCGTTGTACATCTCATCAATTGAATCTCATCGGCCACACTCCACAACAAATCTTCTTTTCAGCTCCTATACAATCAGCCACCAAACTATTCTCACCTCAAAGTATTTGGGTGTGCCTACTACCCTTGGCTACCTCCATCTCATCGGCCTAAGCTTGAGCCACGAGCTTCTCAATGCATTTTCCTGGGCTACTATGACTCCTACAAGGGATACAAGTGCCTTAATCTATCTACCAAAAAAATCACCATTTCGATGAAGACTCGTTTCCCTACTCCACTCACTTCACCATCATCCCAGCCTCTACATCTGACCAACCACCAACCTCAAACCCATCTCTCCTTATCCCAACTTTGACTGTCTCCCCAGTTCTTACACAAAACCATCCCACCCTACACAATCAACCCCAAACTCATCCACCCTCTCTTCTCATACCTCTCTGCCCCCCACTCCTACTGCAACCTTCCCTAAATATACCTCTCCTACTACAGTAACCACAACCCCCACCCCAACCCCTGTCCCTGAATCTCATCCAATGATTACAAGATTCAAATCTGGGTCCTTAAAACCGAAAACCATCATGAATCTTCTTTATACAATTCACTCCAACTCATCTTTGTCTAATCCCGATCCCACCTCCTATATATAGGCTGTTAAACTACCTCAATGGAGGGCTGCTATGGCTATTGAATTCCTTTCCTTGAAACAACAAGGTACCTAGACACTGGTCTCCCCACCCACAATGGCCAACATTCTTGGCTGCCGGTGGACTTATCTAATCAAACGTTATTCAAATGGCACCATAGCCTGTTACAATGCCAGACTAGTGGCTCAAGGTCATCGCTAAGAGCATGGCTTAGACTACCATGACACCTTTAGTCCAGTGGCAAAAATTCCAACTATTCGTGTATTTCTCACCATTGCAATGTATCACAAGTGCCCCGTCCATCAAATGGATGTTGCAAATGCCTTCTTACATGGTGACTTACATGAGACATTCTACATGTCTCAACCTCGTGGATTCAAAGATAGCCTACATCCCAACCATGTCTGCCTTCTCAAAAAGGCTATAAACGGCCTAAAGCAAGCCCCAAGGCAATGGTTCAATACATTTTCTGCATACCTTCTCTCGCTCGGCTTCAATCACAGCCAGTCCGATCACTCACTCATAATTCTCTCCACAACCCATCTTCAAATTTATCTAGTCATCTATGTTGATGACATCTTAGTATCTGGTACTGACGACACAGCAGTCCAGAGCTTCATTGATCAAATCAGCAGCAAGTTTACCATGAAATTCCTAGGCTATGCTCATATATACATTTCTTGGTATTCAATCCAAACCTACAGCAATCACTACTTTCTCTCCCAAACTCCATATGCCCTCTCCATTCTTTATCAAGCTGGCCTCCAGCAATGCAAACCTCTATCAAATCCCAGCAATACAAAACCAGCTACAATTCCTTTCTTCGATCCTATCATTCATAACCCTCTAATCTACAAACAGCTCACCAGGTCCCTTCAATACCTCACTATCACTCGACCTGATATTGCCTATGCGGTTAATGTCCTATGCCAACATATGCATGCTCCTCAACCGACACACTTTCATCTCCTCAAAAGGTTGTTTCAGTATATTCAAGGCACACCACATTTTGGATTACCCATAGTTGCTGACTCCCTCCAGCTCCGATCTTTCTTTGACGTTGACTGGGCAAGTGATATCATCACTCGACGATCGACGACTGGCTACTGTTCCTTCCTGGGTTCCACTCTCATTTCATGGAGCGTCAAGAAGCAGCATATCGTGGCTTGTTCCTCCACGGAGGCTGAATACCGAGCAATTGCAGTAGCTACAGCAGACATTCTTTGGCTGTGCAGATTGCTAACAGAGTTCAATGTATCTCCATCTGCCTCAACTATATTTCACTGTGATAACATGTTGGCAATTGCGCTAGCCAACAATACGATATTTCATGCCTGGACCAAACACATAGAAATTGATCACCACTTCCTTAGAGATCACATTCAAGCAAAACATGTCAGTCTCCATACGATCAGCATGGTGGACCAGCTCACCGATCTCTTCACAAAACCTCTCTCTCCACCAAACTCTTTCAGCAACTTCGTTCCAAACTGACAGTTCAACCATAACCATCATTTTGCGAGGGAGTATCAACAACAGTAGCTCAAGTCTCCACTCTCTCAGTAACGACATCAGCAAAAGCGACTCACGCCTCCACTCTATCATCAACGACCTCTAACAACAAAATCACATGGCATGATCACAACTATCTCATAACAAACTCCTCACACATCACCATACATGTGTCCTCAATATCAGCTATATATAATACACTGTGTAAAATATATCACAAGAAATGAATACAGTAGTTTACACAGAAATATCTACTTTGATATTGTTTGCTATTACTCTGTTTTGCAGGTTACACAGAAGCTACTCAGGAATTTCTTCAATTAGACAAAGACATTGTCAGATGATAATTTTAAAACAATCTAGATGAATACAGGTTTTTTAATAATTATTTCATTGAAAGTTTTGTAAAAACTAATAAGACAATTTGGAACCACTGCGTTTAGACAGACTAATTTCTTGAAACATGTAAGAGAAAATTAAATATTCTTAAAAAAAGAAAGCAAGAGAAAATTAATAAGATAGTGAAATATAGCTCTGATTAAGATTTCATTTGATATAATTTTTTTTATTATTTTTTAAAACAGTAAGAAAGTTGTCCCAAATAAAATTAAGTTAATAGTTAGAAGTTTTGGCCTTTACTTGTAAGACAATAAATTTGTAGATATAGATATATATTACATAAGTATTTAATTATGTGAACTTATAACAATTTTATCAATTGAAATTGAATAACATTTTTCTAAATTTTATTTCACATATAAAAATGAGATTTTAATAATTTTCTTAAAAATAAGTATTATTCAATTAAAATAATGAAAATTGATTTTATGTCATATAATAGTTGTAATCCGCAAATTAAAAGATATTTCATTATTTTGGGAAATATGTACAAATTTTATTTGGACTAAAATACTCCTATTATATTAGAAGATGAGTGATAACTCTCAACAAAATACTCATATGAACATTCGAATAAGGGAGTTATTCAAATATCTCTGATCTTCACAACACTTTCTCAATCTTAGATCACCTGAAAGTTCATGTGATCGATCTACGGTGACGCTTCACAATAAAACTCTAAAGTTTTCAGCAATCACATATTCAAAATGAATGATGTTATATTTTTTATCATTTATATTGAATGCATTCATCATTGATAGGTTTAAGCTATAATATGAATGAGACTAAACGAGAATCATGTGCTACAAAATTTAATTAAATAAGATGCGAACTTATAATAAGAGTTTCGAATTTTGTATGCACAGTAACCCATAAAGCCTAAATCTAAAATTGTATTGTATATTATAGTACATGATATAACAATGTTTGAACCAAGTTTAAATATTGCTCAAATATGTTAGAATTTTGTTTGAACATTATTTGAAGTTTAAACATGATTCAAGCAATTTTCGACTAAGATATGAACAAGTTTCGAACATATATAGTTCAAGCATGCTTCTAGAAAATTTTTAGAAAGTTCCCAATAAGATTTAAGGAATTTTTTATTTATATTTAAAAAAGATTTGAACATATTCAAAACTTTTTGTTTTGTCTCCAGTATCTCATAATTAATAGATTTATTTGAGTTGATTTGTTTGTAGGCATATGTTCATTCTAATTTTATTTATAATGACGCATTATACAAACCACTCGGATCATATATAGAGGTAGGGTTAGGGGTGTCAATTCGGGTCAACAGGTTGGGTTCGGGTCGAACCCAACTTGACCCGGCTGTAAACGGGTTGACCCTAACCCGACCCGGTTTTGCAAACAGGTCAGGTTTGTCAACCCGGACCCAACCCGTGCGGGTTACCGGGTTGACACGACCCGACCCGCGAATTTATATGGGCTGGACGGCGTGGACGCCGAGCACGTCTAGACGCGGAGGGCGGACGCGACGCGGACGCGGGAGCTTGCGACGTGGATGCGAACGCGACGCAGACGTGGCTGTGGCCTGTGCGGGCTGGACAACGTGGAACCGTGGACGCTAGGCAAGCGACGCGAACTCAGACTAGGGACGAGCGACGTGGATGCGGACGCGGGAGCTTGCAACGCCTGGAGCCTATGACGCGGACGGCTAACGGCAGATTCCACCTCACGCCTCACGCGGTCACGCCTCACGCGAAATCAGACTCGGGCAAAGCAGTGGGTATGCGAAACGTGTCATTTCGGGTTGACCCGCGGGTTGTCGAGTCAACCCAAACCGACCACTTTTCAAACGGGTCAGAAATTCGAACCCGGACCCAACCCGTTTCACAAACGGGTTGACCCAAACCCGGATTTTTCTTTATCGGGTTCGGGTCGGGTCAAAAGTTGACACCCCTAGGTAGGGTGATGTGATGGACAAAATTATTTAACAATTTAAGCTTTTAATTTGCTTGGAAGGTTGAAGAATATCCCTTAAGATAATTTTTCAAGCTTCCAAGCTTTAGTTCTATGAACCCTAATTCATCAACTACTATTGAGGATGGTCAGTAATAGATCGAGAGAATAAGAAATACTCCATTATATTCAACATTGAGGTTTGAAAGTAAAATTTGAATTTCTTTTTTTTTTTTGTTATGATCATTGGGTTTATGTTGAAGAATTTTCATATGGGGAGGAATTAACAACTTAAATGGAGATGATAATTTTAAGAATACAGACTTGGAGAAAACATTCATAATGTGCACTGAGAGGATGATGTATGAAAATTAGGAGTATATTCTTAATAACTAATGGTGTTTACCTACGGGATCCTCAAAGTGATAAGCAAGGCCATATCGGATACTGTTATTGTCACCGACAGTTCTCTTTTGTATTCCTGTTTAGGCCCAGCTTATGCAAATCCAATCGTTCATTGCTGACCTGCAACATATATGTCAGTAAGTAATGCTATAAAAAATGTTTTTTTTCTGATAGTTTCATGTGATTTATACCATATTTGGAGGGAGAGAAATTCTAGGTGTTTTGGGAATGCAATTGACACCTCTAATACTACTTGTGCCAAAATCAAGAGAGCTTTATATCGCAGAATCTCTACTTAGAAAAACTTTGATGAATGCAAACATCTAATTAATTGATCAGTTCGGTTGGTTCTTTTGGAAGGTCATTCCACTGGTTGTTTTGCTTGGACTTGCTGGTTTTCTCTACGCCTTGCTATGGGCTTGGTTTCCTATGATGAAAAACCGGCAAAAACTTTCCACCGGAAATATTTCCGGCAACATTTCCGGTGGCATTCCATGACTATGGATTTCCGTATTGCATAGATTCATTGACCATTGATTGATATGGAGTTGATTGACTGACATGCATATTGATAGCATCGCCGTGCTTTGATCTCAGTTATAGGTATTAGGTGACCTGCTGGGCTTTGTAAAGCTCATTATATGTGGTTGACATTTTCAGGTCCGAGCAAGGCAGCAGGATTGGTGGTTGATCGAGACTGTCGATGAATCCTTTCACTATGGATGCCTGGGGCGTCACAACATTTCTGGTGGCATTCCAGCAAAAAAATATGGGAAACCGAGTCTTTTCAGTAAGCAAATTGCGGTGTTTTCTCCGCCGGTATCTCAGGCGGAAAATGTATATAATGCCAGAAATACCGGCGGATAATTCGCCGCCCTAGTCCATTACACTAATATTGGTGGACATTATCGGTAGATATTTTGCCGGAAAGTTCAGAACAAATGTACGCTAGAAACGACTATTCAGTTGTGTTGTATCGTGTTGCCAGCGGTATTGCGGCAGAAAATCCGTCGGAAACCTGTAGCAGAAAAAAAAAAGCCACCTCACTTTTAAAACTGTAGCAAGATCTGCCGGAAACTTGTAACCAACCTGCATAGAAAAAATGCAATACTATATACATTCAAACATCTAGCTCTAATCAAGAACATCTTCAAACATATACACAATAACAAAACAAGAATAATGTCATCAACAAATATCTAATAATAAACAAGTGCTGATGTCCATAAAACTATTCGTCAAGTTTAAGTAAGTCGGCGCAATATTCGTCGGTAATTCCGCCGGTTATTACTGGCGTAACTTGCACCGGAAACCTTTAAAATACTGGCGAATACCCAGCGGAATATGCGCCGGTATTTTAATGGCGGAAATTTCGCCGTTAAGTTATCGGCGCATATGCCACAGGTAACTCAGCCGATTTTCCCGACGTAACTATTTCCGCCGGAAAGTCCGACGGTAATGATATACTTTTTGTAGTGATTCTACTAGTTGTTTCCCTTGGACTTGCTGGTTTTCTCTACGCCTTGCTGTGGGTTTGGTTGCCTACGATGAAAAACTGCTCTGAATTCCCATCTTCCCCTTGTGGTCAGATTTTATGATTACAAATGAGGTTCGGGTGACCATAAATCTTCTGAGTCCACCATTTTTGGTCTTCTTCCTTGTGATTTTAGTCCCTTTTTTTTATTTTGAGCATTGCTAATTTTGTTGCTGGCTAATTTTTTCTCTTCATTGAGTTGTAATTTTTGGCTTTCTTGGCTGTTAGCTCTGCTGTAATTATCTTATAGCGAAATGAAATCGGGCTTTGCCCATTACTTTTCTCTTACTTTTCCAAGTAAAGCAGTTCTTCGTACTTCTAAGTGTCAATTTCTTGTGACAAAGACAAAGACTTGTCAAATTTGATAATTCTAAAACAATCTAGATGACAACAGGTGATTTTCTTTTTATTACTTCAATGAACCAATGCATTTAGACGGTATACTTTCTAGAAACCTGAAAGAGAAAACAAATAAGAAATAGAAAGGTAGCCAACGTTAGTTTATAGTAAGTTTGGTGGTTATAAATTGTATTAACAGCTTAAGCATATTTTTAAAAAAATTTAAAAATAGGCAAAGTCGCCCGTTAAACGGGCGACTTACTAGTCTAGTCAGTATCCAGTCAGCATTCAAAAAAAATTTTAAAACTTTTTTTTTTTAAAAAAAAATTACTGTAGCAAGTCGCCCATTTAACGGGCGACTTACTATAGTAAAATATTATTTTTTAATAAATTATTTCAGAAATTCTTAATTTTTAATTTGTTATATTAACATAAGTTTGCGCATTTTATCCACCGCACATTTAATCAATATCTCCTCCTAAGTAATATACAATATTTGACCATTAACGAAGGTCGAATATAACTAATTGGGTTTGTTGGGAATTTAAAAGTCTACATTAATAAACCTATAAAGTTTTGTAGATGAAGATCTTCTTTTGAAGATTTTTTTTTTTAATTATGACAGTAGTAATTGTGCTTGTGTTATAGAGAACTACTAAAATATTTTTTAAATTTAAACCTGATTGATATATTTTAAACTTCTAAATGTTTTAATGTATCTCTATATTTCCAAATATATTACATACTAATTGATTATGTAGGATTACAGATAATATTTTCCACCGGATTCATGAGAAATTAAAAATTAAGAATTTCAGAAATAAATTATTATATAAATAATATTTTACTGTAGCAAGTCCGGGCGACTTGCTACAGTAATTATTTTTTTAAAAAAAAATATTTTAATTTTTTTTGAATGCTGACTGGATGTTGACTAGACTAGTAAGTCGCCCGTTTAGCGAGCGACTTTGCCTACTTTTAAATTTTTTTTTAAACATGCTTAAACTCTTAATACAATTTATAATCATGCTTAGTCTTAAAATTTTCCCAAATAGAAAGGTAGCCAACGTTAGTTTATAGTAAGTTTGGTGGTTAGGAGTTTTGATTTATGTGAGTAAATTTATGATTATATTTATTTAATTTCCCTCTCTTATGTATACAGGATAATAGTTATATTTGTAAAATTAAAATAAAATAATTAGATCTTTATATTATATAAGCCAGCAGATGTCACACATGCGTAAGAATCGAACAAAATTTGGCACGGAATATTGAAGCTTGATTAGTAACATCAAAGGTTGGCAACATCGAGAAATCAGTTTGGATGATCCCCTTAAATAAGGGGAGTTTAGGCCATAATTAGAAAGATGGGTGATGAATGTCACAAACTATTGCACATTAATAACTATCATGCATTGTACATCATCCTTGCTGGTAAGCTTCAAGCGATGATCAATGAGAAACATTAGAGGCCTAGTGATGTCAAGATATCTACTTATCCAACCTCTTTAGGTATATGAAACTAAGAAACTATGAAGAAAGAAAAAAAAGTTGGATGGTAATGATTGACAGATATCAAATTTTGTTTGATGATATGTTGTTAGTAATCAGTACAATGATAGGCACTGATTTAGGCTGACAGGTAGACAGTTGTTGTTTGACGGTGTTGATAGTAAGCATCAACATTGATAAACACAATTGGCTCTGGTATTGATTGTGCATGGCAAGCATCGATGTTGGTTGATGACCAACTTCTGGTAATGATGATGGCAAGCATCAATTTTAATCAACTCCTAATGTCAGGCAATAATAATCAAAGCTTTGAATTTTTTTTTTTAATTCATAATTACTCTTCATCAAAAGTTTTCCTTAGAATGTGTAAAAATAGTGATTATCTATAGATTTATAGAGGGGCATTCTTGTTTTATGTATTAAATTAGAATATTCAATCAAATATTAATGACTCCCAAATGATCTCTCTTGATAATTTGATGTTGTTATTCATATCTTAGTGCTTTAATGAATTCATATTTGAATAATTTTGGACTTATCAAATTTGTCTCATTCCTTGATGGATACATTTTAATTATAAGCACATAAAATAAGAGAGCATTTGCATCTCTAAATGGTCTTGAGAAGTTTCTACATATACTTTTTGTAAGTGCTAGATTTAAGCCAATTGGAGCTCATGTGGAGTAGTTCTTACTTCTTAGTACTATTTCATCCAACTTGACCATAACCTTTTTCAAAATAAATTTCAGAAGATCTAAAAATCAATTGTTGAAGTTTATTAATATCATCTAGATCTGTAATTTGTAAGAAAAAAAATTGTACTTGATCAGATTAGTTTTTGAATGGCATATTAATTATATTTTTACTTTAATTATGTGATCAATATTGCATTAAATATTTTTATTTTTTCTTAATTAAAGTTGAAATTTCAAGTTGAGCTGCAAAGCCTGTGTTGTTTACTAGTCCTTTAATTATGTGGTTCTTTTTTCGTATTTTTTTTTAATTTAAATCTGTCATTCCTTTTATTTTTCTTATGGTTTTTAAATGTCATATATATTAGTGCAATAGTTTTTCTTCTTCTTTTTAAAGGTCTTATATATGTTTTAATTATTGAAGATGCAAAAATTTGAAAAAAGAAAAAATCTTATATTTTAATATAAGATAGGAAATTTTTGAAAAATAAATAAATAAATTATAATCTCAACATTGATCAAATTTTATTCAAAATTTATCATCGGAAGGGATGAATTATTTGTAATAATTAGTGATATTTCTCGGTTAGTTTCAAAACATCTCACATCATACTCTTAATAATCAGTTGTGTGTAACAGTAAGTAGCTTCTAAGAGAAAAAAAAAAGATTAAAATAACAATAAATAAAAAAACAAATACTTAAGAGCCTAAATTTAGATTAGTTGAGAAATTAATGATAGGCATGCTTGACTTTTAGTCTTTATTGACTAATTAATTAGTAAAACGTCAGTTGATCAGAATAAACTTTTTGTGTAGCCGAAAAATTTTACTTTGATGTTAGTTGATAAAAATATTAGAAAACGGCGGTCTTTCGATGACTCAGTTAAGAAAGTAAAGGCGTTAGATCTGACTTATGTTAAGGAAGGTAGAGGTATATTTAAAAAGATTTGGCTATGAAATATTAGAAATGATCTTTTTTTATTAGATTTATACGAGAATTTGACTTTAACAGAACACAATGGAGAAAAAAATTTCATATAGCCAACCCCAAGTAGTGAGACAAAGACTTGATTTTGTTGTTGTTGTTCTTAGTTGATAAAAATATCATTATTTAGATGATAATAGAGAGCTTAATAAAGGTTTAAAATAAAATTACAATAAGAGAAGATAATGATTCACTATAAGCCATATAATTTGTTAAGGGTAAGATTAGTATTAAGCAAGATAAAACTCACTTAGGCTTCATTTGCGACGACTTTTTGACTGCTTTGTAAAACAGCTTTCTAGTACAAAATTTTTATTTTTTGTGTTAAAAAAATGCTTTATGGAGCTTGCTCTGCTCCAGGTGATTGGGGAGTTTAGTGGGTCTGTGAGTATGTTGGATTCGTATTATTGTGTCTCCTTTAGTCAATGCTTTACTGGTGATTCCTGCAACTTTTTGTTGATTACTAAGTCCCTTAATTTAGTGTATGAGGTTGATCTTCTTTTGGTTTTGGTTGGTGCTTGCATAGCTATGAGGTTTAATGAGAAGATCATTGCCCTGTCTTTGTTAAGACTGATGCTTTACCCAGGTTACGATTGGTTATGTCATGGGTGATACTTTACTGGTTATTATGTTTGTCGTATACATGTTTTGTTTTCTGCACACTGTGGCTACTGTGTTTGATCTCATGGATGGGTTTGACACTTCTCTTCCTTTTTTATTTGTCAAATGCTTAAATATTTACTCTTTCCAGTATACTTGCAAAATGACTTTTTGGTGTTGGAGTATTTTTTTTGTGCATATTTGGTGCCCAAAAACTTGGCTAAATATCTTATGCAGTGTGTTTGAGAGCTCTGGTTATTGGATGTTAGACTTCCATTTTTTCAAGAAGTTTGTGTTGAATGCTATTATTTTGTGCTTCCTTTTTTGGGTGTTGTGTTCTTGTAGTCCAAGATTGTACTTAGGTTATTTTGTAATTCTTAGATTAAGGAACGAACGGCTCTTAGAAATTTTTAGGTTTTCTCTTGTAGCTCTTTCGAGCATTAGCGAGCTGGAGGTTCCTTCTAAGGACCTTATAACCTCTTTTTTGGAAGTAGGCCCATCAGAGATTTTAACCAAAAAAAAAGGACATTCCTAATATTTTCTAACCATGTATTTTTAGGTTTGCCTCTACCTTTCTTAACATAAGTCAAATTTAATACATCTACTCTCCTAACCGGGTCATCAGAAGGTCGCCGTTTTATGTGACCAAATCATCTAAGGTGACTCTCTCTAATCTTATCTTCTAGTATTGGAGCTACTCACAACTTTTCATGTATATGCTCATTTCGTATTCTATCTCTAAGGATAAAGCCACTCATCCACCTAAGCATCCTCATCTCTGCCACACTTAACTTAGTATTATGCTTCTCTTTTAATGGCCAACATTCGACAGCATAAAGCATTGCAGACCTCACCACTAGTTTTCTAGTACAAAAATTTTATTTTGTACAAAAAAACTGCTTTAAAAAGCAGTAAAAAAGCAATCTCAAACGAAACCTTAGCCTACAAATCATCATTTTTACAAACTTCATCAAAGATAAAAGAACATACAATTATTGGGGAAAAAGTAACTCAAGAAATAAAATTTGGATAAGCAGGAGTACATTAAGGCTTCGTTTGGGCGGCTTTTTTACTGCTTCGTGATGCAACTTTTTAGCATAAAAATTAAAATATTTGTACTAGAAAGCTGCTTCAAGAAGCAGAAAAAAAGCCGTCCCAAACGAAGCCTAAGTGCTCCATCTTTATTTAGTATCTTAAAATTGGATATTAAATTTATAGGTCCCAAGTGATATAGGTTTTGGTTGATATAGCTTCATTACTATTTTCTAAAACAGATTTATGGAAAAACAAAATTTTGAACTATAAAATTTTTTATTATAAAACAGCTATCACAAATGAAGCCTTAGACTTAGACAACAAAAAGGAAAAAAATATGCATATTAAATCAATTACAACGACAAAAACCACAACAACAAATAAGCTTTTATCCTACTATGTGTGATCAGCTATATGAATCGCTCATCTCCATTGTGTGATATTAAGAATTAAATTATCAATTAAATCTAATAAAATAAAATCATTTTTAATAATGTCTAACCCAAGCCTATTAAGGCTTCGTTTGGGACGGCTTTCTTTCTACTTCTTAAAGCAGCTTCATAGAAAAAAAATTATTTTTTGTATTAAAAAACTGCTTTAAAAAATAATAAGAAAGCAGCCACAAATGAAGCCTAAATCAATTAATAAAAACAATATCTGTGAATAAGGAAACAAATGGGTTGATATAAAATTATATAAAAAGAATTGTTTAAAATTATTTGAGAAGATTGCATTTAACATCTTTAAAAAACTTTTTTTTTTTTTTGGCATTTAGGTCAATTAAAGAAAACTCGCACACACGTCATGTACGCAAGACTCGAACTTAAGACCTCTTACTTGATAGCCAAAGCTCCCAACCAACAGATCAATGTGATTTGCGTATCTCAAAAAAACTCAACTATTGAAAAATGGGGATTAATAAAGTCAACTCCAAACAATTAGAATAATTTATTTTTATTTTTTTGTGAGAATTAGAATAATCAAAATGATGATGATGACTATAAATAAAATTATGCAATTATTAATGATAGGAGTACAGTTTAAAGTACACAATTGAATTGTTACTTCTTGACATAACTATTAACATATGATGCTTAAAATTACATCCTACTAGTCAACAATATTAAGGTTTCTTTCTCATAAAATTTAATAGTTTTTTACATAAAGCAACTTTGCAAGAGAAAGGGGGATTTACATTCATATCATAAAATTTGTGTAGATATATATATATATATATATATAATCTTTAAGTTTTATCCTTCTAAATAACAAAGCACCAAACAAATCATAAGTGCTCCTTCATCACAATTTCTAGGTCCGTTTGAGGAGAGATTATTCTGTGCGGACACCAGACCGCAGTACGCAGCAAAAGAGTGATGTGGCACCCTCTGATTCGCCTCCGACGACGTCCAATATCCACACAGAATAATTTTTTCCGTTTGAGACGGTTGTTGTTTTACATAAAGTTGATTGTAAAACTGCTCTAGATAATTTTTTTTTTTAAAAAAAAAAAGTTATTATAAAAAATTGCTTTTTAGAATATTTTTTTTTAATTATAAAAATATACTGATCAAATAAAAATTATAATTGAGAATTTTAAAATAAAGCGGGATCCTCAATCAAAAAGTTTTTTTTATTTTGAGTATATATATTACGTGGAACTATTTCTTCTCATCCCCTATTAACCCAGTCCAACTAAACGACGCAGCTGCCTTTCCTCGACCCCTCCGCCAACCGCCAAACTTCTCTTTCAAAACTCAGTCGCCGAACCTAACTCAGCCTATAAATCCTTCCCACAGCCCGACCCATTTGACCATAGCCCAATCCACTCTTCTCCCATTGACCTTTCACGTTCCAACAAATCTCAGTCCTCTATTTATTTCCTCTCGGCACCTCCCGCCCCATCCGACCTTATAATCTTCTGTTCCTCCGTTGACCATTCTCTCTCTGTCTCTCTCTCTCTTCCTCTCTCTTCCATGGATCGGAGCTACCCTCCGCCCACCCACGACTACTCGCCGCGGCGACAGCTCCAGCTTCAAGGCCCGCGCCCAGCCCCTCTCCGCCTCAGTAAAGACTCTCACAAGATCAGAAAACCCCCGCCGGCTCCACGAGATCCCGTCATCATCTACACCATCTCTCCCAAAGTCATCCACGTCGACCTCGCCGACTTCATGGGTCTCGTCCAGCGACTCACCGGACCGGAAAACGCCGGCCCAGCCGACCAACCCTTCTCTCCCGCCGCCAAACTGGCCACCATACAAAACGCCACGGTTCAGGCCCGGCCCATCCACCGGCCCGCAGACGTCGACGATCTCGACCAGCTTGTGATGAGCCGGCCGACACCTAACCCGGGGATTCTGTCACCAGTTCCGGCTTCGCTTCCGCCCGTATCACCCTGTTTCTTTTCACCGTCCTACCTCGAACCTAGCTTCCTAAATTTCTTGCACGACTTGAGCCCGGTTGGGTTGCTCGGCAGCCGGCCATCTCCTGCTGCTCCTCTCATCTCCACCGCCGGCGCCGCCGCCGGCAACTTGTTCGGCGTCAGCCCAGGTAAGTTCCTGTCAACTCCTTTGATCCCTTCTCCAGGAGCAGCTATCTGGGATCTCTTTAAACAGTTCAAGGATACTTAGAAGAACAAAAGGAAGAAAAGAATTGATTTTCATGGTAGGGTAGGAAGATGGAAGATCTGAAAAGCAGTTGGGAGATAATTTATGATACTTTATCCCTGGCACACTAGCCAGGAAGGTTCTTTTCATAATTAATATTATTATTATTATTATTATTATTTTCACGAGCTTGCTGGTTTTTGGATTATCTTCCATGTTAGTTGGATAACATTATGGATATCAATGCATTTATGAAATACATTTGTATGATTCAATGTTATCTTACTCGCAGAAAGAAATGTTCAGATTGTAATTTTTTTTTTCCTTTTTAACCTTCACAAGTAGGGTAATTTCCTATCATTCAAATCAAATATGGCATTACCTCATGAACTAATCTCTGCTGGGATACATTTGCAAAAAAAGATTTACAAAACGCTCTGGTGTTTTCGAAGAAGATTTAAGCCTGAACTTAATTACGTGATTATTTCCTATCTTTATATTGTGTTTGGAATAATTAATAAGATATTAAAGTGTGATTAACTTGTAATGATTTGTCTGCGTTTTGTGTATGGTAACGTGTTGAGAAATAGCTTTAAAGTGCTTATATTTTGTGTAAAAGTAATTGAAACGTGAGACTACTTTTATGGAGGGCAAATATAGACCTTTTCTTCTTGAATTTGTCAGACAGAAAAAGGCTTAAGTAATAAGATTGCCCCTTTTTTTTATTTTTTTGGTTGGAAAAAGTTGGGGGCAGTGCTCCCTTTATATTATAAAAGAAGAAATTTACAAAAAGGATAAAAAACAAAGTAATGCTATCAAAAAACATATTTTAGGGTGCAAATTGAGAGCCAAAGCTCAATTATTAAAGCTTTATAATATAGCCTTTAAAAGTCAAAAGAAAATTAAAAAAATATGTTTAAGATCAATGGAATATGCCACTCTGAACTCTAAAAAGAAAAATAAAAATAATTCCAAAGGACTCAAAGGGGCTTGAAACATCTGGCATTAGAAAAGTTGAAAGACGACACATAGCATCCGGGCAAATCTTATATAAGCTATTTTTTATTTTTCCAGCGGCATTTTTCCACCGAACAGCTCAACAAATTTTTTTTGCCTGAAAATTTTCATATGCGGGTTTTATAGGTGAAAACTTTCCTCCTTAAATGTCCAAATTTGCCGGACAATGTTTAATTTCTACATATAATGTGTGATTTTCCTCTAATGTAAACGGTAAAAAAAAACATCATAATTCTTCCAATAATATATATAAGATAATGAACCTAGAATAACTAATAAAAGTCATATTTATGAAGCATTGAGAAGTGGCCACATAGAAGAGAGTTGAAGAGAAGTCAAAACAAAATCTTGGCACCAACCTATAAACCAAAAGTAGCCAAGCTAACTTTCAAATATCATCCAAAATGGCACCAAAATCACAAGACAGTGCAACTACAATAATAGCCGACAATATCACCCCAATTAGAATTCCTCTTCCATCTTTTCAATTTCAATTGAAGATCACTTTTTTATTTGAATCAAGATAGAGGAGATACAATGATCTCCATTTTTATTAGATTATTGATTTGATAATGACCTATTAATGATCCAGTAGAAGTAAAACAAAATTCTTGTATATCTGAATATTTCTACTTGGGAGCACTGTGGCCAGTAATTGATAAGTGTTACGACCCTAGCTTCTCTAGTCTACAAAGTTTTAGGTAAGCATTGTGGCGCTATGCCATTGAAAAATAGTGTTCATGTGCCTTGGCTGAGGAAGAGAAAGAGAAAAGGGAGGGAGATGGAGAGAGAGAGAGAAGAGAGAAAGCTGGCGTTGGGGCATTTGTATATGCCCAGGGGCGGATCCAGCTTCTTTTCTCAGGGTGGGCAAAAAAAAAAAAATTTTGTGGGGATGGACAAAAATGCATAGGATCCATGTTTTAAAAACCGGACCGGACCGGCCGGTTCAACCGTCTCTCTCTCTCTCTCTCTCTCTCTCTCTCTCTCTCTCTCTCTCTAATTTGATAAAAATGCAATATATTTCAATCAAGAAAACTTCCACTAAATCACTTTTGTTTTGACATTATAACATTAGAAAGGACAAGGATGTATAGTGGAACAAGACCACCTTTCTCCCTTGACCTATATAAAATTTCCCATGAAATCATATGTACTTTATTGGCTTGAACGTCAACAGCAATGAGAATTTGGAGCACCATTTATTAAGGATTTTAATATAGACTTTAGGGATGAAAAAACATGCCCACTAACCAATCATATTCCAAATAGAAACATTTAGAGACTAGAACCTACTAGCCAAAGTAGAAATTTGGCATTCCATCCATCCTATAAAGAATGAATTCTATTGACTAGAGGTTGGAAATCCACCATCCAAGGCCTAAAAGCAGAAACAGTCAACCCAAAGTATTTGAAATGCAACAAAGAGGGATTAAAACTTGCAATCTTACTTAAAGAAGTGGAAGCGAGCATGGGTATTTTTTGACAAACCATCAATAAATTTATTAGGATTTATCACGATATTAGAGGCTGTGTGGAAATCCTCTAACAGTCTCCTTAGACACAAGAGATAAGTAAGGGAATCCTTTCCAAAAATAATAGCATCATCAGCATGTAATAAATGGAAGACATGTTTGTCACAACTGGAAGGGATAGCAGTGAAGCGTCATAGTTTTCAAATCGATTTTTCATGAGATTTGAGAAATTTTTCATGGCCAAGCAGAAGAGGTATGGTGATGTCACGTAACCTTGGTAAAGGCCAATACTATACATGAAGTATTTTTTAATGATCCATTACTATAAAAAGAGTAATGACATTAGAGATGCAAGACTCCATGCATGTTACAAAAATGTAGAAACCCCTTATGCAAAAGCTTATTTAATATAAATTTTTTATTGATGTTGTCATAAGCTTCTTTAAGTCCAATTTTGCATAGGAGTGGTTAGAAAGCCTTTTCCTAAAATCTCAGTAACCAACATGATATTGGAAGAGAAACATCTTTTGTGAATAAAATAAGCTTAGGCTTCATGAATGGTAAGAGGCATGATATTTATAAGGATATATAGTTGCAAGTAATTTAGCTATAATCTTTGTCAATTATAGAGAGTAGCCATGTTATCATAGATGCTAATAACATAAGCCAATCTTGATCAAATTTTGTTTTTTTAATGAAAAAAAGTGTTTAAACACATCATAAACATCTCAACCAATTAAGTTTGAGAAGTGCTTACAAAAAGATTCAAGAGAGAAGTCATCAAGTCAAAGAGCTTGACTTTTAGTGGCTCAAAAATCTTTTTCTTTGATATCTACATCATATATCAGGGCAATGAGATTAGAAAATAAATGCAATAGAACTTTATTTCCACTAGGGATAGTAATCCCAATACTACCACAAGGGTAGGAAGAATAGGAGATCATTGAAGTAAGAAATACTTCCATTTAAGTTGTAGCAAGAGGGGAGGAGTTATTGTGATCATTGTGATCTTTAATAAAGTTCCTATTTTATGATCTTTAATTCTAGATAAACAGAACTTAAGGTTATCTTCACTAGTAGAAAGAAATTTAGATTTTCAACGTAGCAGAAGCCAAGAAGAAAAAGAGTTCATAAGCTCTTAGATATTAACATTGGTCATTTTAATATGCCCATTAATCATTTGATTAATGGGATTCAAGTTGAGAAGAAAGATCTAGAGAATTCTAGCATCCTTAGATATAACATTAGTTATAAAACTATATGAATTATATTTTGCCTTTTTAACAAGTTTTTCAAATGTTAACATTTTGCCCAAAGAGAATATAGGGTGAAAATCTGGGAGATTCATCAAATAATTCTTGAAAGGGAACCTAAGTTTTGGAGGTGAGGAAGGAATAATGATAATAATAAGAGTACAATCGTCTAAGCATAGTAGAGCCAATGCATTATAGGAGAAAAAAGTTAAATATATCCAATAAATCTAGGTTGATCAAGATCTCGAGCTTATAGTGAATGAAAAATACGATTCTCATGTCGAAAAAAGTGAATAAGAGCCTAAAGGAGGCCAAATTCATTATTCATACGTAATAGATGCAATCAATAAAAAGTTTAAGCTTGTTGGGGTGACAAGGGTGCCTTTAGCTTTCTCTTCATGAAATATACAAGTAAAATCACCAATAAAAAACCAAGGACTCTCAAAGCAAAGGGAAATATTAAAAAGAGAGGATCATAACTTCATTTCTCAAGTTTAAAATTGACAACATGAATAACAGAAAGTCAAAAGTAAGTAGACGCCCACAAAATATGATGCCATGAATGATTTTTTGTATGCCAAAGGAATAAATAAATATCTAAAACTATTGCATTTCATCTATATATATTATGCCAAAGCTACACATGGAGAATGTTTTATGTTCTTGTGGGATGAGATAATTAAGAAGTGTTCTTAAAGACAAGTAGGGTTAACTCTAGTTTCAAGCACATAAAAAAGTTCCAAGTTCAAAGAAGAAGGTATTTATGGAGGAGGGAAGCACCTTGTTGAAAGGGTTAGCCATGTGAAGAGGGCGGTTTCATTGAGCGAGCATGGGCTGAATAGAAAAATCTAATGGCGCTGCAAAAGGTCAAATCCCTAGCAAAGTGAAAACCTAATAGAAGATATAAAGTTAAACTAACTCAATAACATATAATTGAGAAATGTATTATCAATAAAACAAAGGACCACAAAAAAAAACTAAAAAAAATGGTAAAAATATAGTGAAAACTTTATAAAGTGCATGAATAGAAAAAATATTCAAAAGACTCCCCTAGAAAATTAAACCAAAAAGTAAATCAATCATTTGAATAATCAACTAATTAACTAGCCACAAAGATTAAGTGAATTTAAAGAAGAGATGATTATTACATGTCACAGCAACATAACAAAAAGCTTAAATATTAAAAATATTAAGCCATCTAAAACAAAGATTACTACTTATTTTCAAACCTTCAAGGTAAACTCTTCATATTGTGAGAAGTGAAAAATTATTTATTTAAAAAAAAAAACATTACTTCCAACATTTGAAATGGTAGTTACATATCCAAAAGATCTTACTAGTACCTCATTGTCAAAAAAGAAACTTGTTAACTTACTTCTTGATCTTTTTATAGTAGCTTTAAAGATAGTAGTTACTCTGAGCCAATAGGAGTAACCAAATGCAGCCTACAAGAAAAAGATGGCATCCCTCAATCTAGGAACTTATGCTTAGTTTGGGACAATTTTTTTTATTGTTTCGTAAAGCTGCATTTTAACACAAAAATTTCTTAAAAGCAATAAAAACAGTGATCTAAAGCCGTCCCAAATGAAGCCTTAGCTTATCAAACAAAGGTAGAAACATTTTAAGTTTCTCGTATGAAATGTGAATGGCCTAAAAGAGGCGTGAGAAATCCAACCACCTTAGTGTGATATTTATCAAGATAAAGATAAATATTGGTATATATGATTTGATCGACCAATCAAATAAAGTTTGAAACTTGTTGAAAACAATATTATGTACTTTTTACAAAATTTAAAATAATTTGATAAATTTATTTGAACCAATTTAAAGTTTAATTCAAAATTAATCATTTCAAATATAATATAACACTTCAAATTAGAATTGAAGCTCACTTACTCCATAATAATCTTTAGTTATCATGCTCCCTACTTTTCTTTCGTTTTTTTGAATTTGGTGGTAATATCTCACCTGTTGTTTGCTTTATATATATATATATATATATTAAATTTATTTATTTATAAGTCCCTTCGCCTAAGATGACGGAATTAGGATAGGCAGCATAAAATCGGTCCCACATCAAACCCTACGTTTTTCGTTCACAGCCAATAATTATGCGATTAATCGACGTCCTTTCTTTGAAAATGAGGGAACATGAAAAGGTAAGCAGAAAGAGTAGGTAGCAATCATAAATGCCTTTAATCAGAAATAATTAAAAAATCAATGGTTTTTTTTTTTTCTCACATAACGTTTTAGTTAAACATATAAAATTATTAATAAACCACTCAAATATAAGTTTTTATCAATATGTTGCTGTCATTTATGTTAATTCTATTGCAACACTTAGGCTTCATTTGAAATGATTTTTTTATTATTTTTTAAAGCAATTTTCTAACATAAATATTTAATTTTTTTATTAAAATTTTATTTTAAGAAGTCAAAAAAGTTGTCCCAAACAAAATCTTAAGCTTCATTTTAGACGGCTTTTTTATTGTTTTTTAAAATAACATTTTAATAAAAAGTTTTAAAATTTTTTATTAAAAATTTATTTTAAGAAGTTACGAGAAAGCCATCCCAAACGAAGATTTAGTTAAATTTCCCTAACATATTATAACAATGTTGATTTGGCTAATCTAAGTCTATGGCCCATTACTTAATAATATTATTAAGTATATAATATGTCTATGGCGCGTCAGAGACGTGTTGAGCAGGCAGTAAATGGATGAGATTAAAAAATAATTAATGAAGGACGTGTATGTCATAAGCTTAATTCATATTTGGTATCACTTTTTTTTATTACTTATTTTATTTATATTTTGATATGAAATAAATTATATTTAATATTTTTAAAATATATTTTTTATTATTAGGTAAATTGATTTGAACTTTAGGAAAAATTTTATAAGATTATGATGAAACCTGCAATGCTTTATGATGCAAAATATTCATCATTTAAAGAGAAGCATAAAATTAAGTTTTGAAAAGATAAGTATGCTAAGGTGAATGAGTGGCTTTACTATTAAAGAGAAAATATGATATGAGCATATATATAAAAAAATTGGAGTAGCTCTAATGACAAATAAAATGAAAAGGCGTCGTCTTATATGATTTGTTCACAAAAAATATTAGTCTTTTGATAACCCAATTAGGAGAGTAGATGCATTAGATTTGATCTATGTTAAAAAATATAGATATGAATCTAAAAATACTTCATTAAAAATATTAGAAATAATATTTTTTATTAAATTTAAATAAGAATCTGACTCTTAACAGGATAATAGAGCGAAAAAAAATTCATGTATTCAAACCCACATAGTTGGATAAAAGTTTGATGTTATTGTTGTAATATTAAATAAATTGATTTATACGATAATATAGTTGATTGTTGGCAGGTTGATGGTTACACTTGCTATGGTGATGATTATGAGTAATTATAAAAATAATTAAAAATACACTAGATAAATATAATTTAAAAAAGAAATCATCCAAAACAGAATCTCAAGTGAACAGCAATGACAGAATGAAGAAATTGCTGAATAATTAAAGATTAATAACATTTTTTTATTTTTAAAATAGAAAAAAAATGCAATTTTTTAACAATTATACTTAAAACTAGCCAAACATAAGGAACAAAGAAAGCCTTCTACTACTTCTCTTTGAACCAATAAAAAATTTTCCGAAGATACGACTAAAATATGGATTTACAGCAGGTTGAAGCAAATCATATCTATTATATGCTGATATTGGTGAAATGGTAGATGCCGTACTTTCCAGCTACGTAAACTTTTGAAACTCGCTAAAGAAATTTTACGAGAAATTATTATGTGTGAATGTCGAATGCATTACATCGTCCGGAGACCAACCTGAATGCGCCATGTCAGCAGTACCGAGCCGCGGTACTGAGCGGGGGTGACGTGTCGCATTGCGCATTCTGATTGATCTCTAGACGGGGTTCGGCGTCCGCACAGAATAATTTGCCAAATTTTACGCCTTCAAAAATCATCAATCGCATCAACATCAACCTTTCTCTTTGCAGATGGATATTGGTCACTGTGAGGCCCGCCAATGAAAGTGCCAACCTTCTCGCCGACAATAGCTTTGACAATGTTTCCAGGTTTATTCAAGTTGAAAACGACAACTGCAGAGTAGAAAAAGTTCACATTTTTATTTTTTTTTAGAAACGGTGAGTGAAAAATAGTAAAATGTGTGGTTCATACTCAATGCTTTCACACTTTTTTGATGATTTTCAATAGATTCTCTAATGGTTCAAAAGGCAAATTTTAGGGGTTATAGAAGATATAGGCTTCGTTTGGGACAGTTTTTTATTGCTTTTTAAAACAACTTTCTAGTTTAAAAATTCAATTTTTTATACTACAAAGATGCTTTAAGAAGCAGCAAGAAAGCCGTCCCAAAAGCCATAATGTTACCTGGGATATTGTTTTCTTGGCATAGTGTGATGGCAGTCATGTCCATCACTGAGAGATCCTTCGTAGTTACATCCTGATAGCTTAGGTTGTCAAGAAGGCGAGCATTTGGGTGTGTCTTGGGGTCTTCATCATACACTCCATCCACATTTGTTGCCTTCAGAACAACTTCTGCATTAACTGCAATATGGGATATCATCACATGCTATTTCATCAAACCATGCGTTTTGAAAAATTAAGAAACAGATTTAAAGAAATATTTCACATCTGAGGATATAGGTGTTAGAACATGTAATCATTTATGCAAGGAAAATGATAGGAAATACTTGAGTTCACAAGCAACCCTAATAATAAATTGATAAAAAAACTGCAAGAAAGAACATAAGAACTCTAACGAAATCAACACAAGACAGTAGGTTGTATTAGGGAAATCAAAGCAAAGCAAACATAAAGCAAAGATACAACTGATCCTCAATTCGAGAGGAGGATCATTCTCTCCCAATCTCTAGGCGAAGAGTCTAGAGCCCAAATCACCAAAGAGAACTCCAAGATAAATAATAATTTAGCATAAACCCTAACCCTAACCTCTCATGCCTATTTAAAGCTTAATTCACTTGAATTCAAAATTCCTTTCCCTCCTAACCTAGTCGCCTCTCTTAATTAGCCATGTAGGGCCATGGCTTGGGCGGCAATCACATAGGAGGGGGTTTGACTCGCCTCCTGTAGACTAGGACTGGCCCATGTGGGGATGGTTGGGTCGGTTCAGGAACCCGACCAAACAGAAAACTGAACATCTCAAGCAAATCCACAAAAACAGGAGCTTCTGTGATCAAGAGATTTACATTCAGCCTAACAACAGACACTTTGGCCATGTCCTCAGCCGTTGTAGTCCCAAACTTCAATCCTCTCTAACAGTTTTTCGAGTTCAAATCAGTTGCTTTATTGCGGTAGGGATAAATATCCAAGTAAAATTGAAAGGCTATTACAACTATTCAATACTATCATGTTTATGGATGTGTAGGGAAACAGTTTAAGGATGTGTTAGGGTTATAATTAATACATTAATTGATACAATAAATGAAGATCACATAAAATAATTTTGGAATTCCTGCTTTCAAAGATCACCAATTAAAATATAAATTTGTGTTACTTTGATGTAAAATAAAATAAAAACAAGTATAAAAGTCAAATAATAATCTAATGATCGGCCAAATTAAAGAAATCGCTAGGAATTTCAAACCTACCAAAACACATGGTGCATTAAAACCCATTCTGTATCATATTGGAATAAAATTGGGAATGCTCACAATACCAATAACACTATATTTAGAAGAAAGAGAACAAGAAAAGATTTTAGCCAGTTGAGAAAACCAATTCACAAGTCGGTACAAAGAGAATTTTTCTCAGAATTTGATTATCATACTTGCATCACAGAAATCTAGCATCCAATAAGCACAAAAAAGACTTAAAAGATACATGAAATTAAATAAGCTAAAGGTATCCTTTACGACCCTCATCTGTTGCATTCATAAGCATCAAAAAATAAAGCAAAAAATCCACAAATCATTAAACTAATAATTCACTCATCATGGTACAACAAAGCCATGCTTGGGATTTGTATAAAGCCTAAGACCTCTAGCAATTCTTTCCAGCTTGGACAAGTTCAACTCTATTGCAATTAACATTTGATAATCATCAAGTAGATTAAGGCTTCATTTGGGACGGCTTTCTTATTGCTTCTTAAAACAACTTTTTAGTATAAAAATTTAATTTTTAAACTAAAAAGCGGCTTTAAGAAGCAATAAAAAAGTTGTCCAATACGAAGCCTAAAGCATAATAGTATTTTCTGCAATCTACTGCGTAGGCGCACAAGATAACATTTAGAACACACCAATTGACATAATTTCATCATCAAATATAGCTTCAGGAACAAGAAAGATAGAACTGCCTAGCATAATGTTTAATGCAAATTTATTAAATAGAAGGGAGATGAATCCAAAGTATTGATTGCAGGTTTATGAAATAAAGTCAAATCAGATACATTGAAGATTGGAAAAAAAATTAGAACTTGCAAGAATTCCTAATTTATGAGTATGTCTTAATAAACTGCATGATTTTAAATTATTCTGCTTTTTCTTGCATTCAATTTTTTGAAAACAGCTACAATCTTCTGGATTCAATGCAATCATACCTTATGAACAGAATATGAAACTTTAGAATTTCATATAATCCTATTCTTCAAGATTTTAGCATTTCTATTCCTATGATTTCTTATTCTTATTCCTTCACTGTGACTGCTATTTTCAAGCGTTGATTGCCACATCACCAAAATTTTCTATATCTCGCTAATGCTATAGTCCCAAAAACTTACTGTCGCAATGTAGCTATACAGCTTCAAAATCTTTTGAAAGCTTGTTGATGTTAATTGCTTATACAGTCCCGGATTTCAGCTAATACCATAACTCTAACAATCTTGAACTCCCTTACAGCCGTTAATTTGCTAGTCCCAAGAATTTCTTTTAAAATCCACTGATTTGTTAAAGATCTGAAGCGCCTTTGCAGCTTATTTCTAATATCGCTACTTTGTTGCCTCCTATACTCCTATAAATAAATTCATTTGAAAATTAAGAAACCTAAAGCTAGTTCCCTACTGTTCATTACATGTCTGCGACTTTTCTCTCGCTCGCTCTGGGGGGTGCTAGGGCATCGCCCTAGCCGCCCCTCCCGGCATCTCGATCCTTGCGGTGCTGGATGCTTCTCCTCGCCTGTTGCAGGGAAGTTTGTTTCTCCTTCGTCTCCTTTCGATCCGAGTTTTTATGGCACCTTCTCGTTTTCGTGATCCTGGTTTTTTGGATGCTTCGTCTTCTCTTTCGTTTAAAGATGCACTTTCTGGTTCTTCCCCTCTTATGGCCGGTGGTTTTCCTGAGCTCAAGGTTTCCTCTCATCAGGCCTTGCCGACGCTGTGGATTTCCGAAGCGGAAATCGCATCATTGGCTGCCCCATTTGAACTTGCTTTGGTAGGTAAATTTCCTGGTCGGAGACCTTCGCTTGAAGCTATTAGGAGTTTTTTCTTCAAGCTTAAGCTTAATGGTGAGGTTTCAGTGACTGTTTTAAATCAGCGTAATGTCTTGATCAAACTTTTTAACGACTTGGATTACTGTCGGGTCTTTGCTCATAGATCTTATTTTGTAAGTAATTGCTTCATGAAACTGATTAAATGGTCTCCTACATTGAATGTGGAGGTTGAATCACCTATTATCCCAATCTGGATTTCATTCCCTAACTTACGGCCTCATTTGTTCGCTTTGCGTATTCTTCATGGTTTAGGCCAGATCTTTGGTAAACCCTTGAAGACGGACAATGCGACCTCCTCTGGTTCGCGTCCTTCTGTTGCTCGTGTTTTAGTTGAACTGGATGTGTCCAAGCAATATCCGAACAAGATTTGGATCGGTCCGGATAGTGTTGGGTATGTTCAATCTGTCATTTTCGAAGACTTTCCTGAGTATTGTGCGCATTGTTTAGCTTTGGGTCATTCTAAAACGAATTGTAAAATTCTTAATCCTAACCTTGTCTCCTCTGCTTTGCCTCCTCATTCGTTGGGGGTTGATTTAGCTACTGTGCACTCATCTGATCCTGGTTTTCTTTCTACTGCTAAGGAGGGAGTTTTAGGTGTTGACTCTGTTGTCTCGGGTAGAGTCCCTCCTAACCCTGTGTCGACCCCGGATTTGATGAAGTTGGGCCTGCTGATGTTATTGTTGTTGAGCCTTTGGGTCCAGTTTTAAATCCTGTGGCAGTTCCTTTTGATAATGCTGTAGTTAATCCTGTTGTGGTTGCCCCTACTGTTGATGATGCACCTGTGGTGTCTGTGGGTGCTCTGGCTGTTGTTGAGCAGGATGTTCGGGGATGTTCTAGTAATGGCTCTTTGCTGGGTTGTGAACTTAATTCAATGCCGATTTTAAGTGAACCATGTGTTTTAACTAAAATTGTTGCTCCTTCAATGGCTGTTGAGCGATCTGATTTATCTGGATCCATGAAGGTTTTGTCCCCTGTTTCTCAGGTTGGTGCTTCTTCGGTTAATTTGGGAATGGATGATGTTCATAATACTTGTGTTGATGTGCCGGTGAAATTAATTGAACCTCAAGCCTTGGTTTTTCATGTGGGGAACAATTTTGGTATGGATGTGAGGAAGCACTTAGATTAGCTTCATGTTTCGTCTGATTCGGAGTCTGTTTCCTCTTTTGAGTCTAGTGGCGCGGACGATCCTGGTAATCCTTTTGCTTTGTTGCGTGATACACATGTTGTTTTTGGTGCCTCTCGTGGTAAAGCTCGTGGTAGGGCAGACGTCCTCGGTAATGTCCGTGGCTTTTGTGGTGGTTGCCTTATGGTTGCAATTTTCTGGGGTGCAATTTTCTGGGATTGTGCTTTGGACGGTCTGCTAGTTCGGTTGCCTGATGCCTTTGCATATATTCGAGCTCTCTGTTTGTTTTTCGTTTGGCCGAGCAGTGATGTGGTTGGGGCTCGCTTGTCCTTTGGCTGGCCCGTGGCAACCTTTGGTGTTGGCTTGGGTTTGCTGGTGCGATTCTTCATCAAATTGGATGGTCCGGGTTTGGCTTAAGGGTAACTGGTAGTCTCGACCTTAAACTGAGCCCTCTTATTCTGTATTTTTATCCACTTTCTCGTTGTGCTGTGTCTTTGAATGTTGTATTTTGTACTGTCTTTTTGTTTGGAATAAAATCTTTTGTTAAAAAAAATGATGAGAAAATCGGAACTTAAAGTTTTAGGATCCAAAAGATTTCTATGAATTCTATTTTGGAGTCTTTGTGGGCTATAAATAGAACCCTTAAGATATGCAAAAAATTTATAATCACTTCGTAGTTTGTCTCGTGTTAATGCATTAAGGACCTCACATAGTGAGATAAAGGCTTAATATTATTGTTGGTGGTGGTAATTTGTCTAGTAGAATTTAATATATTAGTTACTATTAACTATAAATAATAGTGGATTCATTCAAATTGGACAAGGCCCCATGGTTTTTCCCCCTTTTCAGGGGTTTCCACATAAAAACTCCGGTATCTCTTATGAATGCTACGTCCTCTCTTATCTGATTGCGTGCTGGATCTTCGTACAATACTAAGACGTTAAACTTTATATTTCTCTACCGCCGCGAATATTCCATGATG